AAAGCTGACCAAGCCACAGGATACCTCCCTGCACATGGCCTTCTCTGTGCTCCAGGTAAGGCCTTCCAAAGCCAGAATCTTTTGTCTTACACTTTGTACCCCATCTCTTATCTATTTAGAAGACACAGTTTTTCCTTCAGTGTATTTATTTGTGCATTGTAAAAGAGAACATCTGATTTTTATACTTACTTGTGAGGAATATAAAAATTTCCTCAAAGGCAAGCTAGTATAAGTAAGTGTTTTTGGTTATAGTTTGGACCATATGTATCTCTGGACAATTTGTTTTGGTATGTTGAAGATACAGCAGTACAATAAGATCTCACAGGTTGTATTCTTGTGAGGCACAGGTAATGCTGATGCTCCATCTGGAGTGAATCAGATGGCACAAACTTACTAGTTACATAGTGAGTGCCGGGCAGTAAAAGGATGCTTTTCCTCTTTCCTCCATTATCAGAAGAAAACTTGTGGACTAACTATCCTGATTTGGAACACTTTTTTTCTGAGAAATGGGTCAGTAATTAAGCCCATTTTATTGTCATCACACATATGCTAAGCAATGTAACTAGCCTTGAGCTGACCACGCCAAGGTATAATGTGAAGAGTCTAAATGAGCTTGCATATAATTCAATAGCTCATATGACGACACTGCACATATGATGGGTACTTTTATACCACACACACACACACACATACACACACACATACACACAGCACACACACACAATGTGCAGGCATGCTTTATAAATAAGGGCTAAGGAACCTATTCCTGGACCTCAACAAGCCTGAAGGTTGGGCTCCATCATTCCTCATCTCCTCCAGGCTCTCACAGCAGCATCCCAGGGGCTGCTTAACTGTGGCATATATGGCTGGACACAGTGCAAATTCCAGCAGCTAAAGCGTGAGCCTCGCCGTGATGCAGACACGCAAACCCCATTGCTGTGTTCACAGAAGAGAGTCTATAGCAGGAGCCTAAATCCATCGACGTCTTCTCTCACTTTTGCTTCCTGCTCTTCCACCATCCTTTGAACTATGGGACTGGGACATCCAAGAAGTAAATGTTTCACACGAATGGACTCTGTTCTGGCCATAACCCTGACTGAAGAGCTGAAAGGGAATGTAGACTGTGGTCAGTAGCGATTCTAGTGAATTAGGAAGGAGCTTTCCAGGTGAGAGACGACCTCTTTCCACCTAAGAGACCCATTACTTTGATGAGTACTAGATTTATTTCTGTCTCTTAAAGAAAAATAAATCAATTTCAGGTTCCTATGTGTGTGTCTCATTTGCAAGCCGCCTGCTCTGTGAAGGCAAGGGGAGCAGGAAGCCGTGCAACAACTTGCAGGTGTGCAGCTGCAGTGGTCGCATGGAGGCCTGAGCTCACACATAGCCAATGCTCTGTCACACACCTCTTTCTTAGTGTGTTAGTGCTTTCTAAGTTATTTAATAGAACAGTTTTTATGTATACTTTTTTTGTAAAACTTTATTTTAAGATAGAAGTAAATTTGGTGGCTATATCCATCTGAAGTATTTATGGTTGAGCAAAGCTTCCTCAGTGGCCATTACAGCTATGGTGGAAGAATCATGTGTCCTGTATAGTGTGAGAGGGGTTGGACACAGTTGCTATGGAAACTGCAGAGATCCCATAGTTACAGCCAAGGTTCCCAAAAGGACAGGAGCAGTAGTCACCATAGCTCAGCCAGCCCCAGGGTCCTTAGTGTTACCAACAGCATTGTTCCCTGAGCCCTACCAGGCCCAAGGCAACGCTCTGCTATCCCCACAATGTCCACTGTCAGTCTAGCATCTAGACAACTTCCTAAGAGTTCTGTTGCTGGAGGGAGTGGTGGGGAAGGTAATGGCAGACAGCATGGAGCAGAACCCAAAGGAAAGCCCTGTGCTTTGAATTGTGGGTGTTTTAGGCATCCAGTATTTAATAGCTAAAGCCAAAGAAGAGTCATATCTATGTGTAAGAACATCATTTAAATAACTATAGCAATACTAATGTGCCATGGAACGCTAGTCATAAAGAATCATTTAAGAAAGAAGAATCATTGAGATGTAAGACTTTAGAAAAAATAATTTATAAAAGATGGTCCTCAAAAACTCACATATATTTATATGAAGGTGGGAAGAGTTTGGAAAGTGTAAAAATAGGTTCCAGACAAAAGGGTCAGAGTTCTATAGCCAATACAGGAAGAAAGATAGAACATGGTGGGCAAGAGAAATGAAGACATTTTGTTAAAGGGAGGGACCTCCAGAATTTGAGAAGCACAGAGGGTGAGACCCAGTGTTATAAAAGTAAGTATACTGAGCACAGGATTAATTAGGTATGGACATCACTGATACCTGAATGATTCATAGGCCGTGTTCCTCCAGGTGGGGTTGCCTTCCAACATTCTTAAACCCCATTCTTTTGCCTGGACCCTCATCCTACCTTTTATGACATGAAAATTCTTTCTTTATAGTGGTAACCATCCTAGCAAACTGAAGTGTGAATATTACCTCATTCACATTATAAACAGTCCAGCTGTAATCCAGTCTTCATTCTAGGAAAGCGAAGTGTGAGATTTGCCTTTGTATGAAGTGAAATCACAGAAGAAGATTCTCCTATATGTAAAGACAAGTTTTGCCTGTATCTCTGATTAAACCAATGAGTAAGCCTTTGACATGTCTATAATTACAGTTCAGTGTGTACACAAGCTTCCAAGACCCAGAATCTACCACATAGGGCAGGTCAAGACCAGAGTGTGAATTGTTTCTGCCTCCAATACTCTGCTGTAGAAAATGGTGACATTTTCTGTAATGCCACACTAGATGGTGCAGAGCGTGTGCTCATGGAGCAGGAAGATGCGATTAATAAGACACCAGAAATTTTGAAAGCTGGATCAAAGCAGGGTGAAAACTTATTTTACACTTTTGTTTAAACCATTTTATCTCTTGACGGAAGACAAGCTGTTTTTCCCTCCTTTGAGAAAACATTTAACTGAGTTGTTGCCCACTCCCATAATGGCAAAATTCTGTTTCAGAAGAAATTTGGGGAAATAGGAAACCATTTTATTTTTCAAATAAATGTAACACTTTGGGCTGCATGTGATAACTCCACCTGTAATCATCAGGACTCCAGAGGCTAAGGCAGAAATAGTACAGTGAGGTTGAAGCTAGCCTGGGCTACAAAGTTGAAAACCAGTCCCTGGGACACATATGTGAGACACTATATCAAAAACAAACAAAAGTAACACTTTGTGATCAAGTACAAAACTGTATCAATTTGGAGTTATCTTATTTTACTTTTCTTCAGTTGAGCTCCAGACAGAGTGCAATTTTACTCAATAGGATAAGGAAAGATGTAAAGTCAGGCCCAAGGAGAGACATATCTGACCCTGGTCCCCTAGGGAGAAGCATGAGCCCTGGGCTTCAGAGCATCGATATCTGCAGAGCAACAGTATCTGCAGCATGTATTCCATACTCTCATTTCCCTTTGTTTTTCCCAAGTCTGGAGACAAATACAGAATCTAGAGTTGGCTTTAGGAAACTGAGAAAAGTGCTAGGATCTTGATTGGCCAGAGGTAGCCCAGGGAAGGCAGAGAGAGGATTGCAGGATATCACCAGACACTCCTGGGGAATATGTGACTAGGTCCAACAGGAATACCAACATACAGACTACAGGACATCTTCCTCATAATATGCCACAAGCACATGAGCAAGATGATTCATGAGAAACGTTGTACTTTCTAGAAACAGTCATAGCGAAAAACAGCTTTGTTCTGCTCCACTTTATTTTGTTTTTAGACTGAGTCTTGCTAGGTAGCCCAGGCTGGCCTTAAACTCACAGTCTTCTTGCCCTGGCCTTCTGAAAGCTGGCAGTATGCAAACACCACCTGAGAGTGGCTTGGTCCTGAGTGCTTCTCCTTTTCTTCTTTAATGTGTTTGTTTGTTTGTTGTATATTGCTCACGTATACACGGACTGGGGGAGGTAAGTGTGCACTTGCGTGCATGGTGAAAGAGGTGTTTAGCATCTTCTGCAGACATTCTCTGCCTAGTCCTTTGAAGGGTCTTTCCCTGAACCCCGAGTTTGCATTCTCTGGGCTAGCAGCCATCACAGCCCAGCGATCCTCCTGTTTCTGTTATGGGCATGTGTAAGATAACTGTCTTGTTAGGTGAGTCTTTGTGATTGCAAGCACTCTTTGCCCCTTGAGCTATGGCTAAAGCCTATAATGCCGTTTGTTTTGTTTGGTTTGGTTTGGTTTGGTTTGGTTTGGTTTGGTTGGTTGGTTTTTGAGGGTATTTCTATATAGCCTTGGCTATCCAAGACTCGCTTTGTAGACCAGGATGGCCTCAAACCCAGAGATCCACCTACCTCTACCTCCCTGAGTGTACCACTACAGCCTTGCCCACACAGCTATAGAATAAAATGGACTTAACAAATACATACATGGGAACTGAAGACATGTCTAACATTGGTAGTTTTATTTTTAAGACTCATCCCTTGAATATTTTTGGGCAAGTTAGAACAGTGAAGCTCGTGGAGATTGCCCTTACATAATAGGGAATTGTTACTTGAAATGAAAATCCTGGGGGTAGTAAGAAATTCAAGAATATAGTATTGTATACCAAACAATCTATGTAGAAGAAATCATGTCCTAAAAAACAATTTTCTGGTGACCAAAAAAATCAGCCCAAAGATACAAGAACATAAATGTCCAAAGACAATATGTGACAAGTTCAAATGAAATGTGAAAACTAAAGTACTAGAATACTGAATATGTCAACACTCATCGACTAAATGATAATGACGGAGGGCTCCTCCTTCCTTGCAAGTGTAATTTTAGGCCCTGGGGGACAGGGGCAGTTCCCACAGCCTTTGCCTCACTGAGCTTCTCATTCTCAGGGGTGCAAAAAGCTCAGCTATTGGCTTTGTGTTTCCCTACTTATTACTCTCCCTCTTCTTCCTCTTCTGCCTCTTCTGCCTCTTTCTCTTTTTCCTCCTCCTCCTTCTCTTCTTCCTCCTCCTTCTCTTCTTCCTCCTCCTCCTCCTCTTCCTCTTCTTCTTCTATTTCTTCTTCTCCTTCTCCCTCTTCTTCCTCTTTCTTGGCCTCCTCCTTTGCCTCTTCCGAAGGTTCTGCTTCGGAAGTAGGTTCTGAAGTACTGTAGGTGGTTACTATGCAGATGATTATAAGGAGTATGAAGAGTACCAGCATGACAGTAAGGACTATCAGCTTTAAGTTAAGTATCCATTCATTTTTATTTTCCTCCTCAGAGATTTCATTCACATCTTCAGGATTTCCACTTGGCGGTCCAGTAGAAGGACCACTGTCCACACTGCCTCCGTTTCCATACTTTATGCAGTCAGGGGGTGCAAAGCCTGATAAACAATGACAGTTTCCTAAATCGTTACAAACGCCATGTCCATTACATGATCGCGCTGCATCACAGGAAGATTTGAATACAGGGGAGCCTACACAAGCGAAATTCTTACAACTTTTTTGTGGGCCACAGTACATGTTGTTCTTCACCTGTCCCTCATCAGGGATATCTGTATTGTCAAAAGCGTCCATACTCCAGCACCAATCCACTATCTGAGGGATCTGAATCAGTGTGTGCTTGTGTTTGATTGGCGGCAAGAAGTCTACTTCTGTACATACAAGTTTCCCACACAGTATATTTTCATCTGAACACTTGGCATACGTTCCTAGAGAGGAGAAGCCACAGTTCCCGAATCGGTCCCCTCTGCTGTTGAAAGAGTGGTAGCATTCATCTGACGCAGACTTTGCGCCAAACCCAAAGACGCGTGAGCACTGAGAGCTAGGGTCCATGCACCGACCACCAAAGCAAATGAAAGATTCATGACACACAGAGCCATCCTGAGCCAGCCTGTCTTTGGGACACTCTGCAGAGCTCCCATCACAGTATTCTTCCAGGTCGCATGGTCCATCAGCAGAACGGCAAATCTGTCCTAACCTTCTAAACTTACATAGGGAACAGCAAAGCCCATTATTACACTCTGCGCCCGTCTTCAGTTTACAGTTTGCACCACAGCACTGGTTAGAGTCACAGTCAGGACCACAGTCACACTCTTCCGGTTTCTCCACCACACCATTTCCACAACCGGCGTCTCTGCGCTTGCGGCTTTGGTGCCAGGGCTCATCAAGCAGGCAGGACCCTCTGTGGTCGTGGAGGAAACGGTAGAAGTGGTCAGAGCTGCAGTTGCTGAAGCCACTGTCCTTACTGATCTTCTCGTGCATGAGGCAGAAGTGCTTAGGGTCACAGGTGCAGGCCGGGTGGTCGTGCTGGATACCCAGGTTGTGCCCGAGCTCGTGGGCCATGAGGGCCGCAAACAGGAGCACATCTTCATGATGGAAGGCCTCCACAGCTGCCGCAAACCCACCTGAACAGGCACCATTGAGAAAGGCCAGGCCCTCGTTCTCTCCTGGGTGATGCCCAACGATCAAGTGTGCAACATCGTGCCTGACCCGGTCCCTAAGCTTCTCCTGTCTCCAGCGGTTGAAATTCCCGAGCGTAGCCTGCAGGTCCCCAGGCACCTCTATCAGGTCCCCCTCCGTCCAGATCTCCACACCCACCAGCACCACCTCTGTGTTTATGCCCCTGGTGAAGCTGTTGGCCAGAGCAATGATGTCCACTACTGCCCGCACCGTCTCCTTGACGTTACTGCCCCACATCTGGAACCGCTGGTGGTTGACCACGACAAACAGCTCCACGTACTTGGTGTGTGACCACAAGTCCGACAGCGCCTGTAGGTTATCAGGCTCCCTGCTCCTCTGTTGCTGGCTCATGTCCCCTGGGCTGTCTCTGGGAGTGACGCTGCAGGAGACCTGAGGCTGATGTGCCACGGCATAGAGGATGTGTTCATACTTTTTGGAAGAGAGCATGGGCTCAATGACATAGGACGTCCCCTCCTTAATCAGGACGCCCCTGAGGCCTGAGCAGATGTTGACAGACACAAAGGAGCCTGGAACTCCTTCCATGTAGCCCTCATAGTGGCAGTCCTGTGACACGAGAGGCATTTCTTGCCCCAGGATGCCACTGGGGTAACTGTAGACTGGGAAGTTCTTCATGGAGTAGTGTCCCTTCACCTTCAGATGAAGCAGCTGCTCCTGGCCCTGCATCAACAGCATGTAGGACACCTTCTCTTCGGGATCTTCGGCCCCCTTGCCCGGCAGTCTCTTGGGGATGACTGTTTCATAGGAAGAATTATATACAGAGCCTGTGTCACAGAATGTGCTCGGGAGAAAAGTTGCTGCCAAGAGCAACATGGCCACCAGCCTAATACACAAATATTCTGGCATTTGCTCTAGCTTTACTCTCTCCATCTGGGGAAGCCAAGTCTGAAGTGCTCCCCCAACCTTGTACAAAGCCACATACGGTCTACTTGGAGGAAAAAGAGGCTGTTGAGTGTCTCGCTCTGGCCGTGTCTGCCATGACCTTCCTGAATCAGTTGGTGCTTTGGGACCTCTGTGTTGAGCAGCAGTGGCAGTGGCTCTCCCTGACATGGAGAACCCGAGAATCATCCCCCCATCTTTGCTGGGTGCTTTAGTGGTTGTTACTTCCCACCTCTTTGAGCTTAGCTTGCTGGTCTCTTCCTGGTGTCTCTGACCTCTGTGCCTTTTCAGTTTCTGCGCCTGGTTGCTTCTTTCAAAGTCAGCTCCAGTACTCCATCACTAAGTCCCTTTGACCAGATGTAGAGATGTCTTATGACAGATAGACTCTATAATTCAGGACTGTACCTTGAGAGAGGACATAACATCTCTATAGCTCCCTCAACAGGGCCACGCGGAACGCCCCTCCCCCATAGCTCTCCTACTCTTCCTGTTGTCAGTTGCTCAACTAACCCCAGATGCTTGGAGATTCCCTAGGTGGGCACATTCTGTTCTGTTTCCTGACCTCTGAAGCCATTGCTCTAAAGACAAGAGCATCCTAAACCAGGGCTATCCTTGTGCTCTGAGAGATGGATACACACTCATCTAGGAGACCAAGCTGTTAAATCAGGCCAGTGAGCTGACCTTAGCTGTGTGTTGCAGCACAGAGTGGTTAGGGTTGCAGCCCCTGGGGAAGGGAAGAGAACAATAGTCACCCTTCTAATCATCCAAACTCAGCTGCTCAGAGGCTGTAGAAGATAGCATGGTACCCTCCTTGTAATGTGTCCACAGCTGCCATCTCCTAAGGCCTCGCCCTGACACAGTGATCCCCTAGGGTTATGTTTGCACTTGTGTGTGTGTGTTTATGCAGCATTGTTCTGTTGTATCGCCCAGGCTAGCCTGAAACTCTTCATCTTCCTCCTAGTTCTGACAGTTGGTAGGATTACACATATGAGCCTTTCTCCTAGCCTCTGTGCACCACACACACAGGGGTCACAGGATGTTCCTGCAGGTGTGCATACAGACATACAAAGTAAGTTTTCACACAATGTATTTATGGATCTTATGGGATACAGCACACTAATTTCACATGTATAAACAGTGTGTGATAAAAGAGTATTTCCTGCTCTATAAATATTAATCACTGTTTTTTTTGGTTTGTTTGTTTGTTTGTCATCTCTCTGTTTTTTTTTTTGTTTGTTTGTTTGTTTGTTTGTTTTTTGAGACAGGGTTTCTCTGTGTAGCCTTGACTCTCCTGGACTTGCTTTGTAAACCAAACTGGCCTCGAACTCATGGAGATCTGCCTGCCTCTGCCTCCCAAGTGCTGGGATTAAAGGTGTGTGCCAATGCCAGCTTCCACAAGGTTCAGGGTAGATTCTGGGATGGGGTACAGAATCTCCTTTCATTTATCTCTTGGGTCGCCAAGCTGATGGCTCAGGCAACTAACTGATCACAAGGGATGATTGAAAGAAAAAGAAATAGGGGAAGGTGCCTGGGATCACTTCTCGAGTTATTCTTGACTGGCTGTACTGCAGCTAATGAGGAAATTTTAAACTGACCACTCTATTCCTGCAGAGGCTGCTTGTGAAAGGTTGTGAAAGGAAGCTCTTTTGATCTGAGATTAGCTCCTTCAAAGGATCAGGCTACTGGGGAGGGCTCCACAGGCTAAAGTAAACATCTGCCTGCTTATCTTAAAAGGCTGATGGTTAGGCCCGAGTCTACTAACTTATTTGTGAATCAACAGGAAAAAGGTAAGAGGTGAGAAAGTAGGCAATGACCACTCATGCACACACACTCAAGGAAAAGGGGTGGATGAAGTTAAAAACTTTTAATTTCAACAATGGCCACAAGCTTCCACATGACAATGATGCAATAATGTTGATTTCAGCTAGCATCTCCTCTGCAGAAACTGCAGCAAGGAAAGGCTGCAGGCTCCATATGATCAGCCCATACATGATGTAGGCAAACAATCAGATATATATGTACATATTTATACATACATTCAACAGATGATACAAAAGGAGCTCCTTACATACAGGCAGACAATAGACATATACTCATATAACTTATGTTCAAAAAACTGACAGACATATTTACATGCAAAAACATATCTATATACATATTTACAACTCATGGATGAAGAGAATTCCAGCAGGCTTCAACCCACATTTATTGTCTGGTCATAGCTTTTATATCTTTTTGAGACAAAACTTTCTATGTCAGAAAAGGAAATTACATCATAGTCAAAAAGGCAGTTAATCACAAAAACAGATGGATTGTAACATACAACAGGTTACATGTTTGTTTGTTTGTTTTTTTTCATTAAAACTAAACATTTCTTATCCGTATACCCATTACACAAGTTCATAGTGAGTTCAGAATGACAAAGATTGACAAGGCCTAAAGGTTGACAGGGTCCAAAAAGTTAATATGTCTTTTCAGTTCTGACTACCTGTCTGCACATTCTCCAGCTATGTCTCAGTCTATAGTGAGTTCAGGACAATAATTTTATCTGTCTTTCATTCTAAGAAACAAAGTGAAATGACAGTATATAATGCCATAAGGTTGTCAAGGTATAAGAAATTACAATGAATCAGTTTTTATTTAATGACATCAAGATTTATATTTAATTTAGACATTTTTAGGTAGTCCCATTATATTTTGGGTTCATCGGAAGTTTAAACCAACTTGCCTATATTTATGATGTGTACCAGGATTCATGGCGGTGTTCCTAGAGTGGGAGCTTATCTGAGGCCACAAATCTGACTCAATCCTGTCTCCTAATGAGGTATCTCACAATCCAAAAGGTATTTATTGCAGCCATAAACTTTCTACAATTGTTTTAGAACTTCTAAAACTTTTAAAATTGTTTGAACCAAATCAGGAATCCCATAATCAGGAATTAATTCATCTGAACAGCAGTGTATCTTCATAAAGATCCCTTAGGAAGTTTGTTCAGTCAGAGTGGGTAAATACCCAGAAAGTGGCTGTTCACACCATGTCAGATTTTAGAGAGATGCAGCAGAGCACAAATGGCGGGGTTGTCAGAGGTTGGCAGCGATTGTGGGATGCATCTTGGTACAGACCTTACAAAATATAGGATTCTTCCAGAAAGCCCATCTGACTATTGAGCTCCTTTAACAGAATGGCTCTTGACAGGTGTATGCCTGGTAAATATTAATCTGTTTTAATAGATAGGTTACGCACTGTGCTGCCAAAAACTAGAATGAAACCTAGAAGCAAATCTCTGTGTTTGTGAATCTTACTGAACTGTTTTCCACTCCCTTTCCTCACCTGGTCCCTGGTGACCACCATCTACTGTGCTCTTCAGCAAGATCAGCCATTCAGTTTTCACAGAGGATTAACACATATGGTGCTTATCTTGCTGTCTGACCCTGTCACTTGGTGTGACCTCCATCTCCCTCCACATTGTAACAAATGAGGTTGGCTGCACAGCTGAGCTATCACAAACACTGCTGCAGTAGCCATGGGAGAGCAGCTGTGTCTCTGGCACAGTTATTTATCTTCTTTGGAAATATAACCAGTTGTGGAGTTGCTAGATCATATAGATCCTATAGTCTCTTGTGTTTTGTGAAGATTCACCATAGTGTTTTCTGTAATGGTGGTGCAAGTCACATCCCTGTCAACAATACATGAATTTCCTTCATGTCTGGGTTAGCATTTGGTTTTGGTCATTCAAGGGCATGTCTCCTTCTAATTAGATTTCTAGTGCCTCCATAATCACTGAGATGGGCCATTGTTTCCTACATTTCTTGGCAATTTGAAGTTTTTCTTGGATAGAATATTTGTCTTTTCTTCATCTCAGGATAAAGTACAGGTTAGCCAGGAAATAACTAGGTAGCCTAGGGTGTCTTCCAATTAGGAATCCCGCTGCTTCTGCCCCAAGTGGCAGGGCTTCAGGCACTGCAGTCTCTGGCACATATCCACGTCCCCTAGCTCCTTCCTCACTCCTGCAGAACCCGCATACTGACGATCAAATCTACGTTTTGCATGTGCTGTGTAAGCACTGCCTCAGCTGAACAGACATCACTGTGTGTGTCTTCTTTGGAGAAGTGTCTAGTGAATTCCTTAGCCCATTTTAAAATTTGGATTAGTTTGGTTTTTGATGTCCAGCTGTGTGTTCATTATACACTTTCAAAAATTAAGCCTTTATTAGGTGAATGGTTTATAAATATTTTCTCAGGCTTAACAGGCTATGTCTTGCCTCCTTAGTTTAATAGATGCTTATTTTCTTTTTACTTGCTTGAGTCTTTGTAAAGAATTCCTAGGAAAGAAATCATTGTCAACACATTGCTTACCATCGTTTGAAATAGTTTTCAACCCTCATAATACTTCTACCCTTAAATACAGTTCCTCATGTTGTGGTGACCCCCAACCACGAAATTATTTTTGTTGCTACCGTTATGAATTGTAATGTAAATATCTTTTATGCAGGATATCTGACATTGGACCCCTGTGAGAGGGTTGTTTGACCCCACAGGGGTCATGACCCACAGGATGAGAACCAGTGGTCTACAGCAACACTTTGGAGTGTTTCTTTCATGCTGTATTATGGCTCAATGTTTTAGGTTTAACATTTTGGCTCCTTCCTCTCCCCTCCTCACCATTTCTTTCTTTCTCTTTGTTTCTTCAGAGGAACTCCTGTATTCCAGACTGGCCTAGAACCCACTATAAACATGTAGTCTTTTTTTTTTTTCTGAGATAGGGTTTCTCTGCATAGCCTTGAGTATTCTGGACTTGCATTGTAGACCAGGCTGGCCTTCCTGAATGCTGGGATCACAGGTGTACACGACCATGCCTGGTGTACTTGTAGCCTTTGTGCCTCTGCCTTCCAAGTGCTAGGATCACAGGCATGTAGTACCACAGTCAGTTTATGCAGTGCTGGGCTTCATGGATGCTAGGCAAGCACTGTACCAGCTGAGCCACAGCCCAGGTCCTGTTTAGTGATGTGAATTTCTTTGAATGTTTAGAGGTTATCATCCAGCTTTATTATGTCACATATAT